ACCTCCCTAACTTGGCCTAAGACAGTTTTTACAGACGAAAGCAAGCTTGATAACTACTCCTCACACACATGACATATAGATTATCGGCTTTCCTACACGAGTCATGAATATCGTAAAATGTTAGCCAGTGAGCAGGCCCGCAATGAACCTTTTTAGCGAGTGAGCCCAGCTAATGAGCTAAAATGAATCAAATTGTGTACTCAGTCACAGTTGGTGATATTTTAAGGTATCTACACAAAGAAAACCTGCTTATATAAATCTCAGTGGCGGATCCACAACTTTTCATAAAAGGGGGGTGGCCGCTGACTGACCTAAGGGTTTCCCACTCCCGTCATGCTTCCCCAGTGGCGGATCCGGGGGAGGGTTCCGAGGGTTGTAAACTATATAAGATATCTTATAAACTATATGAGATATCTTATTTTATTAGATATCTTGAAGTTAGAATAAATAATAAAACGGCTTGCCATATAATTGTAAGTTGGGACTTCTATTCTGGTTACAAAAAAAATATCTCCAATAACAAAGTAGACTATTCATTGTTTGGAGATGACGTAAAATCAGCAAACGCTTTAGTCCTTAAAATAATTCGGACCAAGAACAGAGCAAGTAATGCACAATGTCATCATACGGTAAACAATGATGCTGAGAAAGTTTCATGAAATTATGATCAGGTTTAGGATGAGAGGCGAATACAAATGTATACTAAAGCATTCAGATATGATAGAGTCTTTGTCAATGTCACCTTAGGGGAAACCCCAAAAAATGATGAACTAAAGATAAGTAAAGTGCCAAAAAATATCTATAGAGTAAGATTTTGTGAAATATTTACAAAATTTTGTACGGCGATTCAGGAGCAGTTGCGGATACAAAAGTTGGACAGACGGACGGACCCCCTCACTATATATACACCACCCGCTTTAGAATACGGCCGGGCAGGGATACAGTAAAACAAACAGTAGCAATAACAAGAGCAAATGATATACTTAGACGTTCTGTTTTCGGCGGCGGCGTCAATAATTTCTTAAAGTATATGTGATTAATTCTGTTTTAGGGTAACAGCTATTGATTGGTGAAATATATTTGGTATGCAGTTGTATAAAAACTACCTCATGCATATCGTTTCCATGGTTATTTGTTTACTCGGCCCCTAGTCACGATCTATTGATTTTTAGAATTTTTGCTTGGTTTAAATGTTTAAGGGGAACCACTCAATGATATTAGATTTACATTTGTACAAGCATTGGCGTATCTCATTTGCAGCTTGAGTTAAGTTCCACTGACTTAATATGTTTTGCATATTGTACATGCTTAAAAGTATTGTAATTTTGATTTGAACATTTGCATCTTTTCAAAAAATTACATACAAGCGAGACATAATTCTGTGTCAACAGTTCAAAACATGATCATTTCAGTACGTATATTCGATAAGTGTCGTTTGCAAGGATTTTCATAGCGTTGATTTACAAAACAATAACAATTACTGAATGTTTATGTGACGCCTCAATACTCAACTAAGTCTACTTATTTGCATCTGAAGGAGATCCATGAACTGGAAACGTTAACATAGTTGATGAAAAAAAGTAAATGAAATGTCAGGAAAATATATTATGCTCAAGATTTACAAGCAATCTCTGAACAGAAATTACGAACATGATTGAACTTTAAATAAAATAGGGGACAGTTCGGATTCATAAACGATCTAATATGGACCCCGTATCGCAAAATTACGGACAACTAGTTCCATCGGACTGTTCGAATGAATTATTTCTCTTCATGTCGTTGGGTTGCTGTCTCATTGAGGTACAACCCCCACGTATCCTTGTATTCGTATCTTTGCTATTTTTTTTCAAGTCGTTGGGTTGCTGTGTAATTGAGGTACAACTCCCACGTCTACTTGTATTCATATCTATATTTTTGTTCAAGTCGTTGGGTTGCTGTCTCATTAAGGTACAACCCCCACGTCTACTTGTATTCGTATCTATGATATTTTTCTTCATGTCGGTGGGTTGCTGTCTCATTGAGGTACAACCCCCCACGTCTCCTTGTATTCGTATCTACGCTATTTTTTTCAAGTGGTCGGGTTGCTGTCTCATTGAGGTACAACCCCACGTCTACTTGTATTCGTATCTATAATATTTTTCTTCATGTCGGTGGGTTGCTGTCTCATTGAGGTACAACCCCTGCGTCTCCTTGTATTCATATCTATATTTTTGTTCAAGTCGTTGGGTTGCTGTCTCATTACGTCTACCCCACACCTCTTTGTTTTCATATCATTCTATATTATTTTTGATCAAGTAGTTTAGTTGGTCTCTCACTGACGTATGCCCTCACATCTCCTTGTATTCATATCTATAATATATTTGTTCAAGTCGTTTGTAGCTGTCTATTTGACCCAATGTCTCAATGTATTCGTATCTATTATATTTTGGTCAAACGTTGGCTTGCTATCTCATTGACGTATTACACCACATCTTCTTGTTTTAATATCTATAATATTTTGTCAAATTGTTTGGTTGCTGTCTCATTTTATATCCTACATCTCTTTGTATTCATATCTATTGTATTTTTGTCAAATTGTTGGGTAGCTGTCTTATTTTTGAAATCGTGTTCATGATACTTGTTTCAGTGGTTGGGTTGCTGTCTCATTGACGTATACCCCACATCTCGATGAATTCATATCTATATTATTTTTTGTTCAAGTCGTTGGGTTGCCGTCTCATTGACGTACACTCCACAATTTTTTGAAATTGTGTTTAATCATATATTTTTTAAGTCGTTGTATTGCTGTCTCATTGACGTCTACCCCACATCTATTTGAATTCGTTTTTCTATTTGTACAATTTGTGTTTAAGTCGTGGGGTGCTATCGAACTGATGTATACCCAATTATCTAATTGAATTCGCCTCTTTGATATTTTTGTTCAATTCGTTGGGTGGCTGTCTGATCGATGTATACCCAACATCTTGTTTTTTTTTATCTATAATAATTTTTGTTCATGCGTTAGGTTTCTGTCTCATTGAAGTATGCCCCCACATATCTTTCTATTTGTTTCTATTATATTTTTGTTCAAATCGTTGGGTTGATGTCTTATGGACCTATACCCAAAAACTTCATGTGTTCATATCTATAATATTTTTGTTCAAGTCGGTAAGTCGCTGTCTCATTGACGTTTTACCCCACACCTCCTTGTATTCATATCTTTTATATTTTTGGTCAAGTCGTTGGGTATCTGTCTCATTGCCACATACCCCACATCTGTTTGAATTCTTTTTTATGATATTTGATTTTTAGTGGTAGAAAGTTAAATCACAAAATTACTGAACTCCGAGGAAAAATTCAAAACGGAAAGTCCCTAATCAAGTGGCAAAATCAAAAGCACAAACACATCAAACGAATGATCAACAACTGTCATATTCCTGACTTGGTACAGGTATTTTCTTATGTAGAAAAATGGTGGATTGAACCTGGTTTTATAGCGCTAATCCTCTCACTTGTATGACAGATGCATCAAATTCCATTATATTGACAACGATGCGTGAATAAAACAAACAGACAAAAAAAGGTAAAAATAGGGGTACAACACTAGAGTTCAATTCATTGGGTTGCTGTCTGAATGACGTATACCCCACATCTTGTTGTTTTCGTATCTATAATATTTTTGTTTGTGTCGTTAGGTTTCTGTCTCATTGACATATGCCGCGCCATCTACTTTTATTCATTTCTAGAATATTTATGTACAAGTCGTTGGGTTGCTGTCTTATTAACGTTTACAATACCATCCTTTGAATGCGGATGTATTATATTTTTTTTCAAGTCGCTGGATTGCTGTCTGATTGAAGTATCCCCCAACATATCTCTGTATTTGTATCTATTATATTTTTGTTCAAGTCGTTGGGTTGCTGTCTCATTGATCTATACCCAAAAAACGTCATGTGTTCATATCTGTAATATCTATGTTCAAGTCGGTAAGTTGCTGTCTCATTGATGTTAAAAACCACATCTCCTTGTAATCGTATGTATAATATTTTCGTTCATGTCGGAAAGTTGCTGTCTCTTTGACGTATGCCCCCACATATCTTTGTATTTTTATCTGTAATATTTTTGTTCAAGTCGTTGGGTTGCTGTCTCATTGATCTATACCCAAAAACGTCATGTGTTCATATCTGTAATATCTATGTTCAAGTCGGTAAGTTGCTGTCTCATTGGTGTTAAAGCCACATTTCCTTGTATTTGTATCTATAAAATTTTTGTTCAAATGATTGGGTTCTTCTCTCTCATTGATGTATACCCACATATCCTTCTTTTCATATCTATTATATATGTGTTCAAGTCGTTGATTGCTGTGTCATTCACTTATACTCCACATCTCCTTGTAATCGTATTTATTATGTCTTTGTTCCAAGTTGTTGGGTTTTTGTATCATTCACTTAAGTTATACTCCACATCTCCTTGTAATCGTATCCATTATGTTTTTGTTCAAGTTTTGGATTGCTGTTTAATTGACGTATACCCTTCACTTCTTTGTACATTATATTCGTATCTATAATATTTTCGTTCCAGTCTTGGGTTGCTGTCTCATTGACCTATACCTCACATCTCCTTGTATTTGTATCTGTAATATTGTTATTCAAGTTGTTTGATTGCTGTACTGTGAAATCTTCTAAAATACTTGGCCAGCCTTGCTTTCTTGTCTTACTTCTTGTTTCAAAAAGTCCAAGTAAGATGAATAAGAATTTTAATAAACAATAACATACATTATATAATTACGACAAAAAAAATGACGTTATGAACAAATACTGGTCCCAATTAACAAAGTTATCTAGATCAATGCAGTAAGTTATCTAGATCAATGAAGTAAGTTATCTAGATCAATGTAGTAAGTTATCTAGATCAATGCAGTAAGTTATCTAGATCAATGTAGTAAGTTATCTAGATCAATATAGTGAGTTATCTAGATCAATGCAGTAAGTTATCTAGATCAATGCAGTAAGTTATCTAGTTCAATGTAGTAAGTTTTCTAGATCAATGCAGTAAGTTATCTAGATCAATGTAGTAAGTTATCTAGATCAATGCAGTAGGTTATCTAGATCAATGTAGTAAGTTATCTAGATCAATATAGTGAGTTATCTAGATCAATGTAGTATGTTATCTAGATCAATGTTGTAAGTTATCTAGATCAATGTAAGTCTAAAGACAAATATTTGAACGTAATTCCTTATCATCTAACTTCATACAAGAACGCGTCATTGGATTCATTTGCCACTAACAATGTATGTGTAGATGTGTCATAGTGTAGAACCTGTGGGTTATCCAGTCCATCTTCACGAGATAAAAGTTGTTTGTAGCGTTGTCCATCAGGCGAGATGACGATCACATTGTGAGAATCATATCCCACTACAAACACGTTACCATCATTGTCCACAGAGATACCGAATGGATACTTCAGAACACTTTTATCACAAAATGTCCACAGTATGTTTCCATGGTAATCACAACATGTTACACTGTGATTGTCTTTGTTTGTGTAGAACAGTTTGTCACCGAATGTTGTAACGTATGCAAGCTTCGAGAGTTTGTTATTGGTAACATTGGTAATGGAATCATCACTAAGATTAATCATCTGTAGTCCTTTCTCTCTGGCACAATAAATCAAATGCCCATCTTTGTATACTGCTCCATCATTGTATGAATTAACTTTTATTGATCTCTTCAGTTTTTGTTTCTCTAAGTCGATTATATTAATCTTACCTGATAGGCCTGATGTTACAGCAATAGAATCATCACCGACAAATACAACATCAAACGTATAACCGATGTTATTTATTTCGAAATCTTTTGATCCGTCTGATTTGAGTACATTTATTTTATCTCGTTTATAACAGGAGAATACCATCCTACCACCAGGAAGCAGGGAACAACCTCGGACCAATGAAAAATCTGTATTGATACGTTTCTGTAATGTCAGAGTCAGGTCATCAATATTTCTGGTTGGCAGTGCTACCATAATCTGGGCTTGTCTGTTCTTCCGTTTCTGAATGGTAAAATCACATGGATCAGAACTGACAATAATTTCTCCAAACTTCTGTACGTTGGCTGTACATGTGATTTGCAGTAAAGACTTGTTAATTTGACATGAAATGTTTACTTGATTTGAGGTGTCCCTCGTTGTAAGGGATTGAATAAATTTTTCCTCGACTGCAATATCTTTTTCGATATCTTTCATGGTTAAAAATGTTTGAAGCTCGGACGCATGCTGTTTAATACTAGCAATGTTTTCTTGTACTTCACTGATCTCTTTTTCCTTCTTTTTCAGAGTAGTCAACAATTTTTCGATTTTGCTGCTTTCTTTTTGTTCAACTGTCATTAATTCTTTAATCAAATCATCCTGAAGTTTATCAAGGTGATGATTTATCTTGGTCCTAGCTTGTTTTATTTCTGCTTCAATTTCTCTTTTCTTGTCTTTTAGCGAGTTTAAATTTTCTTTCCGGTTAGCACTAAGTCTTTTAACATTCTCGGCGACTTCAAGCAGGGTTTGTTCGATTTCATAAAAGGCGTTTGAAGTTTTTACGTTTTTAATGAGTTCATCAATATCGGTTAAACCCTTACAATCGTTGTGAGATTTCACACATTTCTTACAGCACGGACTGTGATGTTTTCTACAGAAAAGCTCGTATTTTTCATTATGTTGTTTGCAGACTTGGGCGATTTGCAGGACTTCGGTCGGTAATTTCTTGTACTCGGCGATGGAAACGGTTTCATGGTTTTTTGTTCCTATAGAAATACTGTGGTGTTTCTTACAATCTCCACATAGTCCTTCGTCACATTCGGAACACCAGACTACGGATGATTTTTTCATCTGACGATTATCACAAACACCGCAGAGACTCCAATTACTGGCCATCACCCTGCAACATTATTATAAGTTGAACAAGTAATAAATAATTTCATGTTCATATAATGATCATAGATTATATTCAAAAAGGTAACTTTCCTGAAACGTGCTTGTTTAATTGATAGTTTGATTGTTCTTTACTTAATGTCCAGTGGCAAATATTTCATGCATATTCAAGACGATAACAAATGCATAAAAGAATATGTTTCCAATTGTCACCATACCCCACCCGTACTTTCACATTTCCATGTGCAAGGAACCATTAAATAGGATCCAAAAGGTAAAACTATCACATCATAATAAACATGTGGGCTAAGTTTATAAATTGTTGGTGTTAGAGTACATTTCTAGCAATTCCAACAGTGAACTGTATATTATCATGTCAGGGCCTTTTATAGCTGAATATACACTTTGACTATTGCTCATTGTTGAAGGCCCTACGGTGACATATAAAAACATTCATGTACTGTATCTAGTTGATAGTAAACTCATTGGCAATCATGCCGCATCTTCCGAATGAACACAGGCCTAGCCACAACAGATATGCTTGAGACTACAATGGAAGATCATTTTCTCGACCTTACTTCTACTTGAACACAAAAGGAACACCAGCCTAGCACTGATATGCTTGACACTACAACGGAAGATCATTTTCTCTGTCTTACTTCTACTTGAACTATGAACAGGTGTTTGATCGTTTGTCTTTTTGAATGAGCTGTGACGTCTTTATTATCCATTTAAAGTATTGAGCGTCAGTTTCGATGACATCAGTCATATCAGGTTGTTGTTTGATAATATCGTTATGGTCTAGGAAAGTAGGAAAATGGATTAAAAATTTGAAAAGAAAAGAGAAGAAAGATTACAAAGGGTAATTCAAAGAGGAACTTGCAACGCATTAGCAAGGAACGAAAAACGACGAAAACATAAACAACAGCCTACAAAACACAACATAGAAACCCATACCAACAACCGGGGGTGATGTGAAGATTATAACACAATGTTGTCTGCTGTACCCATATTTTTGACACTTTTACCTATCAGGTCTGTTTGTTCTGTTCACACATTGTTGTCAATATAATGGAAATTTATGGACTGTCATACAAGTGAGAGGTTTAGCTAGCTATAAAACCAGGTTTAATCCACCATGATGATGATGATGATGATGATGATGATGATGACGATGACGATGACGATGACGATGACGATGACGACGACGACGACGACGACGACGATGATGACGACGACGATGATGATGATGATGATGATGATGATGATGGATGAGAGGAGGAGGAGGAGGAGGAGGAGGAGATGTGGTATAATTGACAATGAGACAACTATTCACCAAAGTTCAAATGAAGAAGATGTAAGATATTAAAGGCACCCGTACGGCCTTCAACAATGAGAAACACCGACTATAAGAGGCTCCGACATATAAAATATGATACAATTCAATAGAGAAAACTAACGGCTTAATTCATAACAAAACAATTTACGAAAAGCAAATATATCAGACATGAACCAACGACAACAGTAACAGTACAAAAGTAAAACGTATCAGTATACCCTACATACAAGCTATTCTAACTCCGAGTCAATAACTATCCAGTTCTTATTATATCATGCTTAGCAATCAATGATTCGCTGCAAGTACCAGTTTTTAAGTCTTTGGGGGTCGTACAGAAAAGACGAACACGACGGGCGCTGTCTGTTTTACTTCAGAATGTAAAATTTAATGTTCGCAGGAACAATCACTTCACACTTCACGTACTTTGAATATATAATGAGCAAAAAAACAAGTTTAGCAACACATCTTTAAAGTTTCATATTTCAAAAATAAAATATACTTTCAAAAAATATTTTTATAATTTTTAATTTTTCTAATAAAAATATATGTTTCTAATCTTTGTTAACTCAGTATACGTCATATTTTTCAAGTGGTCATTTCCAATTATTGGAGGTGTAAGACAAGGGGACAGTTTAAGTCCTCCTTTGTTTAATTGTTATATTAATGATTTACATTCAATTTTTAATGAAACTTGCAACCCTCCAGTTTTTGATACTTCAAGTATCCAAACTCTCAGTTACGCAGATGATTTAGTGTTACTGTCTGAGACACACCAGGGGCTTCAAAATGCGTTAGACAAACTAAATAAATATTGCATTAAATGGCAGTTGAGTGTAAATACAAACAAGACTAAAATTCTAGTTTTTCAGAATATTTATAAACAATCCCCACCCCTCTTGTTCAATGATAAATTTTTGACTGAAGTTAAGGACTTTAATTTCTGGGGAATATTATTAACTATAGGGGAAATTTTACAAAAACTACTGAAGAGCTGACTAAAAAAGGTATTAAAGTTTTATTTTTATTGAGAAAATATATGTCCAATTTTAATTTTGTTCCCACTAATTTGTCATGTAAATTATTTGATACTCTTATAAGACCTATTTTGACATACAACTCTGAAATTTGGTTTATGGATAATTTTCAGTCAGCTTTTAGGGCATCTAATAGAGCTGCTGTCAATAATACTTTTTGTGATACTCTTGCATTAGCAGAAAAATATCCTTTTGAGAAGGTTCATTCTAAATTTTGTAAAGCAGTATTAGGACTGAAAAAGACAGCCACTAACATAGGTGCTAGATCAGAATTAGGTAGATTTTCTTTGGACTCTTATATGAAAACTCAAACACTCATGTATTTTTATAGAATAAACTGTAATGATATTAATCCCCTGGTTAAAAAATCTCTACAAACAAACATAAATTTACATTCCGCAGGAATTTATTCTTGGTACTCATTTGCAGATAAAATTTTTAAAGATATGAAAATAAACCCAGAAAATTACTCTAATATTAATGTACCTTTTAAACAATCAAAAAACGTGTTAAAATGTAATATTAAAAAGTGTGTTTCCGAGGAATATGAAATCAAAGAGCTGAAAGCTCTGAGGAAAAATGACGCCACTGTCTCTAATATTGTGATATTTTTTTATGCAAGTCTTAATTTTCACATACCGTAATAAGTTTAACATTGCAACATGTCTCGTAAGCATAAAATTGATATTCGTATATGTGTGTCTGTTTTTTCAGTACAAATGAATAAGTCAAGACTACCTGAATGATCTACAGTATCCAATTACTACTGGCTGTTTTTTTGTATAAATAAATAGGTCAAGACTACCGGAATGATCTACAATATCCAATGACTACTGGCTGTTCTTTTGTCTTAATAAAAAGGTCAAGACTATTTGAATGATCTACAATATCCAATGACTACTGGCTGTTCTTTTGTACATATAAATAAAGACTACCTGAATGATCTAAAGTATTCTAAGTAATGTGATTTTTTTCTTGCAATTACATTTTTCTAAATCAAGAATATAGACTACTAGTATCCTTTTCAAACCAAATGATTATGAAGAGCCTGTTGTAAGCAAGCTCTTATACCCCACATACTCATTAAATAAGTTACTAGTGACCTAGTTATTTCTGTTACTTGAAGCAAATTATATTTCTGTATATTTAGACAATAGTATAATATTGTTTTACTAGTTTTATTTCACCTTGAAGATTAGACAAATAGGGATACTCCTTCGATTTTTTTTTTCATGTCAGTCAGGTCGCTTTATATGAAACTTCAAACCACTTCTCTGCCATATTGTTATTTTATAACAACTCTGCCCTTGACCATGTTGACCCATGTAATTGATATTCATTCTTTAACCATATATCATAGTCAGTTAGTTTTTGATTTTGCACTCCCACACCACCTTTCATGTCTTTCAGGTCAAATGTCTGTCTCCATTTAAGTTAATGACATTGAACAATCATGGTATTAAACACAATTTCAATAGTGAAAATGCTGTTCTCGTGGGTCACCATATATTCAACTTGGGTAGCATTCCAGTTATTGAAACTTGCGTCAGATTAGAACAATGATCTGGATCTTTAGGAATGGATCTTATAATTTAATATGGAGCCATTGTATGGGACCCCTACACGGTAAGAAAAAAAAAACAAGCTTGAAAGGATACAATGTCAAGCGGCAAAATCTATCACCAGAGATTACAAGTCAAAAGAGGATGGACGGGATAGTCTCTAAAATGCTTGCTGAACTGGAAGTACAGCAAGATCTCTAGACAAGACGAAAAAAGCGTTGAAGCCAGAAGTTAATATTTATGTAAAAAGTAGTTGAGGGGCTGATTCCCGCTATTGAACCATACTGTCATTCTATAATATCATTGCGTAAGTATTTCTGTATTGACCTTGTTATTGGTCCATGTCTTGGGTGTATTGGTCCGAGGCGAAGCGGAAGGCCAATACTGCTGGCCGAGGACCAATAATAAGGCCAATACAGAAATACACGTAATAGTATCTTTATTAATTATACAGTGTTACAATATTTTTTTTATTTCATTTCACAAGAGATAAACATTTTTACCTTGAAGTGGAACTATCCAAATCTCAGTTTCCTTTTATAAGATGCAATATCTAATGATTCGGTGCCGTTTGACTGCTGGCCGAGAACCAATAATAAGGCCAATACAGAAATACGCGTAATAGTATCTTTATTAATTAACTACAGTGTTACAATATTTTTTTTATTTCATTTCACAAGAGATAAACATTTTTACCTTGAAGTGGAACTATCCAAATCTCAGTTTCTTTTTATAAGATGCAATATATAATGATTCGGTGCCGGTTGAAGTATCTTCAGCCTTTTCTCATCTGATGAATTTTTCTACCCTTTCCAGTCACTATAAAGTGTTACAACTTTAATTTAGACACATAAATAGTAATTGGAAAGGTACTGCCATTGCATGTGTAATGCAAATATGTTTTTAAAAAAAATAATGTAAGAGTTGAAATTGATACAACTATCCATAAGCCAATTGACCAAAGAACGAAGATTTGCACAATTACAGAACGCATATGCCTGGTTCGGGTTTAAAAATAAACGACCGTTTAAATACAAAACATGAGAAGCGACAGTAAACAGTAAAAATCGAT